CAAGGATCAGCAAGAAGGCACATGTGAAGCTCACCCAGGTTCTGTCTGTTTCTGCTCTCGTACAAAGACCCCATATGGAGCCAGTGACAACGAGGGCCATGGGGAAGGCAGGTGAGGATTGGGCCCTGCTGCTCAGCACAGGGTCAGCTGGCTGGCCTAGGGTGGGCTGGCCAGGCGCAGGGTGGGCTGGTCAGACACGGGGTGGGCTGGCCAGGCGGGGGGCCGGGCTGGTCAGGCGGTGGGGTGGGCTGGTCAGGTGTGGGGTCGGCTGGTCAGTGTGGGGGGGTCGGCTGGTCAGGTGTGGGCTGGGCTGGTCAGGTGTGGGGCGGGCTGGTCAGGTGTGGAGTGGGCTGGTCAAGTGAGGGGTTGGCTGGTCAGGTGTGGGGTGGGCTGGTCAGGAGTGGGGTGGGCTGGTCAGGTGTGGGGTGGGCTGGTCAGGTGTGGGGTGGGCTGGTCAGGAGTGGGGTGGGCTGGTCAGGTGTGGGGTGGGCTGGTCAGGTGTGGGGTGGTCTGCTCAGGAGTGGGTTGGGCTGGTCAGGTGCAGGGTCGGCTGGTCAGGTGTGGCCTGGGCTGGTCAGATGTGGGGTGGGCTGGTCAGGTGTGGGGTGGGCTGGTCAGGTGTGGAGTGGGCTGGTCAGGTATGGGCTGGGCTGGTCAGGCGTGTAGTGGGCTGGGCTGCTCAGGCGCAGGGTCAGCTGGTCAGGCGTGGGGTCAGAACATCCGTGGTGCTCCTGTTCCCGTTCCCGCTGCACGTGTCATTACGTCCTCTTTTCCGCCACAGGTATCATATCCTGTTCTCCTTTGGAAAAGCTCTATTCCACCTGCTACCTAATCTTTGGTGTGCTTGAGCTCTGTAGGCCCGTCTATTTTTATTTTCTTTTTCTTAAAACATTATTTTCTTTTCAGGAACCTGCCAGTTCAGGGAGGCCCATCTTTCTAGAAGGTTAACAGGAACTTCCAGCCTCCAGCCTACTTAGTGACCGGCTGCTGGAGGACGGTGAGCGGCCCCTGCTGTCCACGTCTCCACGGGGGTCACCGAGCACACTCACAGGGTCCCCCTCTCCACCTGGAGCAGAGAATTTGGAGGAGCCCGTCTTGCTGTCTTTTCTGATGTTGTTAAACTATGCTTGGGCCTGCCCGTTGCTCAGAGGAGCTTTCTACACAGCTGGACTTCTGAGGTGGGACCTGCCACGTGCTAACACCAGCACTCGGAACAGTCTCTGCCACTGGCAACATCCTGTCCTGAACATCTCCAATGTGACCTCTCTCCTGAAAGGCCTGTGTGCGACTTATCTGTGAAGCTGGAAGAAAGTTCTGGAACTTCCCCTTCTCCTTTGGTGCAAAGTTACACTAACTGTCATGATGTTGTTGATTTCCATTTTTTTTTGTTGTTCTTGTTGAGACGGAGTCTCACTCTGTTGCCTGGGTTGGAGTGCAGTGGCGCGATCTCGGCTCACTACGGCCTCCGCCTCCTGGGTTCAAGTGATTCTCCTGCTTCAGCCTCCCAAGTAGCTGGGATTACAGGCACCTGCCACCACAGCTGGCTGATTTTGTATTTGTAGTAGAGACAGGGTTTCACTATGTTGACCAGGCTGGTCTTAAATTCCTGACCTCAGGTGATCTGCCCACCTCAGCCTCCCAAAGTGCTGGGATTACAGGCGTGAGCCACTGTGCCCGGCCTTGATTTCCTTCTTAAGCAGAGTTGAGTCTCTGTCCACACCAGTGCTGCCTGGGCCTTCCTGAGCACCTGTGGCTGGCATCCCTTCCCATCTCTCCACCCTGTGGCAGGCAGCAGTCTTGCTGTTCCCCGGCACCTCTGCCAAGCTGCCTTCAGAGCTGCATTCGGGAAGCCACTGCACAGCCACAATGCATGCTGAATGCATCCATATGCAGAATTCACTCACATGTCATACAGTTAGTCAAAAATGTCGAGGCCCTGCCAGCTGGAGAGATGGGGGAGAATACGGATCCCTCCATGAGTCCAAGCCGGCGGTACAATCCCCTCAGGCCCCCTCCTCCTCCTGTGCTCCAGGTTTTCTATTTCAAGGCTGCTGTTTACTTCCTTACTGTATGTCAGCTCAGTCATGGATTTTAAACGATGCATATATATATATATTTTGCTTGTTTGTTCGTTTGTTTGTTTGAGATGGAGTCTTGCTCTGTCACCCAGGCTGGAGTGCAGTGGTGTGATCTCAGCTCACTGCAGCCTCTGCCTCCTGGGTTCAAGCAGTTCTCCTGCCTCAGCCTCCTGTGCTTT